GCACCAGGCAGAGGTGACCTCCAGCTGCCTACCATGATCAGTGAGGCTCAGCTCGTTCCTCACAGATCCTGGGCCATTGGCTGCATTTTAATCTGCATGGTGTTATTACATTATGTACTTGTCAAGAGGGATTTCATTAAATTTTCATAATGTGGCCACACTGCACATTATCCAAACTAGAATAGCTGTCTCTGGGCTTTCTCACAGGCTGACAGTTCAATGCGTTCCTTATGACTTTGCAGCGAATTTAAACACACAGGGCGCGTTGTAAAACTTCAGTATCCTGTACATGTGCTTTGGGCTTGTGGCATTCTGGAACACCTCAGGAAGCATCGCTGGAACCGTGCCACCTGAACTTCAGTCTCCTGAGTGCCGTAGAGGCATGTGGGGTGTGTTTCTTTGCCCACTGAGGGGGGGGATGTGGGCTCCTGAGTCAGGCTGCCTGGGTTCAAATCCAACTCTGCTTTTAACAGCTCTGGAACCTGGACTATGTCCTTGAACTTTCTATGCCTGAGTTTTCCCATCTATGAAATGAGGATGATATTACTACCATATAACAAGCTTTAGAGGACCAGACCCATGGGAACCATGTAGAAGAGTGCCCGGTGGTTATAAATCCAGTTGTGGGGAAAGTGGTTTGCAGTGCAGTCTGCCCCTGGAGATGGGGATGTGCAGCTAATGGGGACTCCCCCATTCTCATGTGCCCAGATCTCCTGGGAGAGCCCTGCTTCTCTGCTTCGGTTCCTTCTAGTCGGATGTGCTGCTCATCAGACTCCATAATGTGCGGCATCCTCCACTCCCTGGGTCCTGTCTCTCCCGTCTTCTTATCTCATAAACAGCATTCTGGCTTTACCAGATTGCACCTCCCCAGACACAACATACTGTTTCATGGCCCTCTGCGTCCTCCTGGTCCTGTCCCCACACACGCCCCGTGACATGCTGTGTCTGACCAACACCTGCTCATCTCCCAAGACACTCACGTATATACCACCTCTGCAGAGCCTTCCCTGGCTACGCTGTACCACCCTTCCCAGAACCAGCCAGTCTCTTCTTTTACCCTCATGTGTCCCATTCTGTGCAGGCTGCTATCCAAATCACTTGGGGTGGGGGGAGATTACTTTGCTTATCTAACCTGTTTATTTACAGAGATCCCCTTCTGCAGGAGAGGTCAGTGTACACTTGGGATGTATTTGTACATATTATGTACAATGCTCAGTACATATTAGAAAAAAAATAATATGGTAAGCAAATAAATGTTTGAGCTCTAAAAGAGGGCCACACCCTTTTACATCCTAAGAGCACACCATGCATGTGTGAATGGTGCCATCACGCAACCTTGTCTATAAGCTTTGCGATTCTTAGAGGTGCTCTAGGAAGAAACTTGTTCACTCTCTTTTCTCATAAGGATGTTTATTTATTTTTATCAGTTTTTAGTTATCCAAATTCTGTTGTCTTTAGGCACAACTTGGGGGAGAAAGAACGAGTGATCAGGGTGACAGGCAGTCGAGAGCAGGGCAGTGACCCTGAGGCCTGGGAGCCCACGTGCCACTGGGCTGCACGGAGGCTTCCCGGTGCCACTCTGCTCTGTCTGTGGCTTCTCCTGAAGGGCAAGGCTCTGTGGGTCCTGATAAGAGGCTGTCCTTGCTGCTATTTAATACCTAGACTGATGGGATTTCAGTAACAAAAATGTCTGCCTTTTATGCCCAAAGCAGGGCTTTACCTTGAAGACAAAAAGACATCAAATACATATGGCTTTGTATTTCCTGGCATTGTCGCTTCCCATTCAGGGATCAAACTGGTCAGTGAGCAGCGTTAGGTTAAATGGAGGAGGAGGACTCCAGCTGCTGGGGACTGGAGACCCGATGTCTCCTTGTACATGACGTTCCCTTGTCTGTTTACTCTGCACCTGCACTGGATCCGCCCCCACACCCACCTGCTGCCTCCTGTCCCCCAGGCTTTGTTCTTCACCTGCGCTGCATTCCTTTATGGTGCTGATTTTCAAAATTTGTTTCCTGCTATGGACTTAGTCTCATGAACATTTAATATAAGTTCTTTTAAATTATTTTAAAAGGACTCCGTGTTCCCACATTGTATACCATATTTCATACTTCAGAGACCGCCTGCAGAATAACATGGGCTGTCAGATCAACACACACTGGTTTTCTGAGAGACCTTTCAGGCAGGTTTTCCTAAAGCGGCAAAGTATATTTCAACTACTCAGAAACCTGTCTTGGTAAAGAGGACAGCGGTTCTGCACCGGTGCTCACAATGTGGCCACGCACACCACCCCCGACAGCGTGCTCCCTGGTCCCACACAGGACACAGGGGAGCCAGCGAGGCCCTGCACTGTTGCTGGGCCCATAGTTATGTGGCTAGGAGGTGGCCTGTTACGTTGTGGAACGTCATATGGGGCATCTTAAAGTTGATGACACTTCTTAGCTGGCCTGAGTCTCTTTAGCCTCTGACCAACACCTAGGATTCTGCCATCACCCTCAACATCACCCTACTGCTCGAAATGGCCCACGCTCGGAGGGCTCTGCCCAAATCAGGACCTGAAACCTGCCATCAGAGAAGCAGAGTGACCTGCTTCTCATGTTTACCAACGTGATCAGACAGGTCAGAGTGGAGAAAATACAACACAGTGTAGCTTCGTTTCATAGTTGCGCGCGGAGTCCTGTGTGAGCCAAGGGAAGGTGTGTGAGCACTGACCATGTCCTGGGTCACAGAGCCAGCCCCGAGGAATACCAAAGAGGCCAGGAATACACTGTGTGTTATGATCAGGATGTAGTCAAATTAATTGCTAATGAAATAAGATTTCAACCTGACCACTACCCCCATCTCAAAACTTGTACATTTGGAAAAATCCTGGTAGAAATCACAAAATATTTAGAGTCAAATCACAATAAGAACTACATATCGAAATTTGTGAAATGCAGTTAAAATGATACTTACATGAAAATTCACAGAACTTATATGTATGTATGCATGAACAATAGACATGGACAACAAAGCTGGGAATGGGGCGGGGAGGGTGGGGAAGAGGGGTTACATCTGTAACAAAAATAAATTAATTAATTAAATTAAAAAAAGAAATTCAAAGCCTGAATTTATATATTAGAAAGGAAGAATTAAAGTTAATGATCTGTGTGTCCATGTCAAGAAATTAGAAAATGACGCTGAAGCCAAATAGATCAGACAGATGGGAACAATATAGATGAGCCATACAGAGGCTGGCATTTGGGTTTGGTTATTTCATGGTAAAGAAAAGATACGATAGAAGTATGGCTAGATGTTAATATCTATATTAGCATCTGTATTGATGTCTGTTATGATATATTCGGAATGTTTCTCTTCGCTTGCATTATAGTTCTCAAAATTAATTTGTAAAGACTACAGGCCAATAAAACAAACATTAACTTTGATTTTGATTTTGATTTTTTAATGAGTGCCTACAATTTGAAACATTATGTTTTAGCGGCTTTCCAATTGGCCTTCCAGATGAAAAGGCACGAGACTTTCTGATCCTTTTTAAGGCTTGGACCCTCACGCAGCCCACCTGAAGCGCACGTGGCTGCGCAGGAGGGACTCTGTCACTCTTGGAGAAGTCCCCAGGTCTCCAGCATGGATTCAAGTTCATATCAGACCATCCCAAATGTACCCGCAGATTCAGTGGGAATCTGCCTGGCTGTTTCTGCAAAATGAAGTCACAAGCAAGTAGAAACTTGATTTTTGTTCAAATAGGTAAGAGACAGACACAGTTATTAGATATCATGAGTGATGTGACTTTGCAATAAAAAATTTACACTGATAACTTTTTCCAGCCTCTGGATTACTTTCATTAGAGACTCCTGAGCTTGCAGGGCAGGTGATGGGTGGTTACAATGAAGACTTCTTATCGGTGCCAGTCATGACTCCTGATACCATGCAACTGAAATAAACTAGAGTAGTGGCTGGACCGACAAAGGATACGACTTTGATTTCCAGCTGTGTTCCAGCATGCCACAAGCCCAATCAGAGTGCCACCGTTTCATAAAGAAATTCTAAGGGAGCACAGCCCCACCCGTCCCGGGCGCCGTCTGGCTGCTCACACACAGGCAGAGCTGAGGACTTGCGGCAGAGACCACATGGCTCGACAGAGTCTGAAATACGGACTATTCGGAGCTGACCACGCTCCAAATGGGAACGTCGTTCTCTTTGACTTGTAAATGTTGTACTAAATGTAAACTTACAAAATGCATGGGTAATAAAACACTAGGTTTTTTTGTTTGTTTTTTTTCTTTATTGGCACTTTTCGCAAGATTTTATCCTAAAAGCGACTAAACAAGGACTCGGTTGCTACCCAAACTTGAAAACTGCTGTGTTACGGCAGAGTTCAGGGAGACGTGCCTGGCAGTGAGCAAGATGAAGACAATTCTGTAGGGAAGGCCTGTGAGTCTGTCTTCGAATCTCTGTGAACAGAAAAGAACTATCAGGTTCCTAGTATCAGGGGCATTTTTTTTAACTTAAAATTATCCTATTAATAACTAGTGGACATAGACAACAATGCTGGGGGGGGATTGGGAGGAGGGTGTCAATGGGGGAAAAAGGAGAAATATCTGTAACAAAAATAAATTAATAAAATTTTTTAAAAATAAACATTTGTTGTTGTGTATGTGACAAAATATGACAAATGCAGCCCTTCAGTGAATTGCTTAGACATGGTTTAGGAATACATGGTTATTTTTTAAAGTATATGGACTCTAATTTCTTGACAAAGTTGATAGGATGTTGTTCCTTTCTGCCACATTTTAAAAATCACAACTTTTATACTTTCTATAAGAAAATTAGCAACACTCCAGCACCCAGAGTCTTATTGCCTCTAATTGGGCTAGTGAGAGCCCTGAGTGCTCATGGGCTTGTATGGCATGAGGGTGGGAACAGCGCGACACCGGACATGCGCCGAACTCCTCGACGCCATCCACGATCGCAGGGCATTCACCGATTCCTCTGTGTCTCTGAAGGGTATTCCCGGAGTCCCTCCGGTGGCTGATGGCTACCCAGCAGTTTGAGTCTGCAAAGAAGTTGATCCTGCACTTCATACAGAAGAACTGCATGAACCCCGAGAGTGACATCAAAGGCGTGATGCCCGGTGAGTACCACCCAGTGGCCCCGTCAGCCCTGGGAGAGGTGCCCCGAGTCACAGAGCATTTCCCTGATGCTGGGGATGGTCTGGTTTACCAAGCAGCTGCCAGCTAGCTGTTTAATTTCTATGACGGTTTGTCTGCAGCTAGCCTAGGAACGTGGGTGAATTGAAATTCTCTCCACCCCATAGGAGTTGGGTCTTTCCTGACAAAAGTTTGCACAGTGGGGCCCCAACCAGAAGTGAGGTGTAAGCCTAATATGCACCTGGTCGGCAAGGCAGCATCTGGGAGGGGTAGAAAAGCCTGAGTCTGGCACCGCCCTGCCTGCCTGGCTGGAATGCCCGCAGAGTCCTGCCTGGGGATGCGGCCGGCTTCACACCTCTTTCCCAAGTATACCCTCCAGGGAGCCACTGCTGCCTTTACCTGTCATGACCTGTTTTGGAGGCAACTACAGAGGCAGATAAGCGAAGTGTTTCCACATGTGGGTTCAGAGCCACAGAATTCATGTGTGCTGGGACCATCAGCACCGGGTCGATCGGGCTTTCAAGCATTAGCTCCACGATATCACCAGGAGGCTGCTAAAATCCAGGCTCCCAGGCCCTCCCTGACACCCAGAGGTTCTGATCCAGTAAATTTAGAATAAGCCCTAAGAACTTGCACTTGTAGTAAACACTAGACCCAAGGTGCACAGACGTCCTTTTGACAGCCCCTGCTAGACCAGACCCAAGCTCCGACCCACTGTCCATGCCTGAAGCCCTGGTATCGATGGCACTTTGTTATAAATTTCCCAGGACAATAATCTGGAAGCCCTTGTCCCAGAGAGATATGCACATTTCCCACCATGATCTCAGAGTCGGTCCCACAGACATTTACTAAATGCCCGCCGTGTGCCAGGCAGTGTCTGGCGCAGAGAAACAAGAGCAAAGCCTTGCTCTGGAAGAGCTTGCAGTCAGGTGGGAAATCCGACAGTGAACAGTGAAATGTGTACTGTGTCAGGGGCATGAAAGCTGTAAGGAAAACCCGGAGAGTGGAGGGCTGGGGCGGTGGTGAGCTTGGGCCCAAGGTGACAGGTGAGCAGACACCTGAATGCAGTTGGAGGATGTGTCCGGTCCCAGTGGGAAAGGAGCACGAGTCAGGGAAGTGGGAGCACGCTGGCCAGGAAGGACTTCCATCCCCTCTCCCGTGGCTCCTGCACAGGCTGCTCACAGCCTCTGGACTCAGGAGATCTGGGTTCATCGTCCGTAGAAGTTCCCCAGATGCTGCTGCTGCTCAGCCAGGATGACATCCCTGCCTTGGCCTGTGCCCTGACCTAGGAGGTGGGGACAGCAAGGCTCGGCCACCTCCGCTTCAGCACAAGCAAGAGTTCAGGAGGCCTAGAGCCCGTGCTTTACTGGAATAAAGAGGGACATGGGCCAGTGTGCTTGCGGTGGAGACACTGGGTGCTGGGCCCTGCAGAGGTCAGCTGTGCCCCTTTCTCTCCAGCGGCAGTGAGCGGTCACTTTTCTAAAGGACTTGCAGATGTTAATTTACATCTAACATTTAATCCTAAATGGTTGACATGTATTAACTTCTATTTCTTCCCAACTTGAGTCCTATGAGGGAGGTGCTGTAATTATCTATGTTTGTGGGTGAGGAAACTGAGGCACAGAGAGGTTTAAGTGTCTTGCTAGAGGTCTAGGAAGGAGTTGAGCTGGGACTTGAACCCGAGAAGTGCAGCAGAATTGGCTTCCCTGGCTGCTCTGAGAGACGAGGACGAGCTCTGAACCCACTGTGACTGGAGAGGAATAAATATTGAATTAACTTTTCTCTTTTTGGGTCCTGTTTGCTGAGTTTGGAGTGTTCAGCCATCTTCCCCAAACTTCTCCAGGCCCCATTCATTAGGAGGTTAATGCTCTGGAGTTTTTCAGTATAATTTGTTGCTGGCATTTCCCTAATTAAATCACATGCTCTACTTCTTTCAGGTTAAAATACTGTAAGCTTGTTTTCTCGATCCAAATTGCACTCATTCATTTCCCTCCTAGTTTTGGAGGGAAATTAATTTTCTCCTTTCTTTGCTTATGAGTGTTGCCTGTGTTTATTTTTATGCTGGTGCCCCAGCAGGAGGCTGGCAGGGAGGCGGCTGGCACATGTGACTCCCTGCACTCGGGGGTGATCACAGCACCCCCTCCTGGGGTACCATTCACATCTGCCTCTGGCTCCTGCTCACTTCCCAGTGCTGGACGCACTGATGCTGGCGCCGTGGCAGATGCTGGCGCCGTGCTCAGGGGAAGACGGGTGTCTGTTTCACGTAAATCGTCCACTTCCAACTTCCTTAGGCTGGACTCGTTTTTGGAATCTTCTTCCCATGGCCTCACCTAATCCACCGGCCTGCACCTTAGTGTCCTCCTTCGCCTCTCACCTGCCTTCACTTCATCCTCACTGCCACCCTTCCCCCACACCACCACCTGTTCAGAGCTCTTCAGTGGCTTCCCAGGGCCCACAGGCTAGATCCCCAGTCCTGCAGCTGCTCTGAGAGCCTGTCTCGCCTCCTCCTGCCTCTCGCTGAGCCTTCACTGGGCTCTCAGAATGCACCCGGCACCTCCGTCGCAGGGCCTCGCACTGCACTTCCGTCCTCAGCCTTGGCTCCTCAGAAAGCCTGAACCTGGGCCCAGGCCAGCCCCCCAGCAGCGCCCCATCTCAGCTGCAGGCACTGACCTCGTTGCCAGCATCCAGCTGCAACGGTGGTTTGTGTAGCTCCTCAGGGCTTGTCACCCTGTGTCTGCACAACCTGGTTCCTGGTTCCCGGCACCAACTGAAGACCTGACTCCTAACAGGCATTCCACGAATAACTATGGGATAAAGGAAACGTGGCACCTGTGGTCAGGAAGGGGTAGGGCACTTTCTCATGGGAGTCAGCGGCAGTTGCTGGTTGTCGCCTGTAGTAGATGAGTGTCTCAGGTCTGGCTGTGGGTATGAGTGGAGGGGCGCTCCTGCCCGTCAGTGCATCCTAACCTTGATTCAGGCTAAAGAAAACCTCATGTTCCAAATTTTTCCATGTCCTTTCCTCTTTGAAGCAAATCTTCAGTTCATTGTTGAGAGTGGCAAATTTTCTCGGGGGAGTTTGCAGCTGAATCACCACAGATATCTGGATGCGCTCTGGGGTATCATTCTCACAGTGTCATTCCTACAGTCGCTAGTGTCACATGACGCGTCCAAGTACTGGCAGCTCTCCTTGTATCATAATGCCCAAGATTTTGAACATTTACTGCAGGAGTAGAGTCCTCTGGTTTCAGATGTGGCCACAGACTGCAGCCCGCTGTACAGAGAAATCGCGGAATAAGAGCTCAACCCTGTGCTCCTAGTAAGAGCAGCACTAGCGGTCGTTGGGCAGTGACCCCACCCGGATTGGCTGAAACATTTTATGTGCATCTGATCCTCATCAGAGCCTTAGGAGGTCGATAACCAGATCATCCCTGCTGTACATGTGAGAAAATGGGGCCCAGAGAAGCTAAGCATTTGGGAGCATTGTTTCCCACTCCCCAATTTCCCTCCACTGGAAGGAGCCAGCCCCAAGGAGGGAGAGTGAACTTGTTCCCCTCTTTTATCCTTGAGATTGGGCCACGTGCAGAGAGCGAGTCCTGTGTCCTCACACATCAGGCCCCCCTCTGGGCAGCGCCCCGGAAAAGCCAGCCTGGCCCAGCCTTGCCAGGACGGGCAGGTGAGTCTGTACGATGCTGGTACCCCAGCCTCGGGCCCTCCCAGCGACGGAGCGCGGACTCTGCCCTCCCTGCCTCACTCTTGATCCTCTCCGTCTGTTCGGAACCTGAGGTGAGAAAACAGGGGTCATGTATCAGGCCACCTCAGCGTCCCCAGCAATAAGTAATTTGTCCAAACTCATACCACTGACCAGTGATGAAACTAGCGTTGCGTCTACCCTCTCTTCATGCCACTTCCCACGCAGGGGCTTCCTGAGAGGGAGTCCAGAGTCAGCAGTGCCAGTCACTGTGGGAAACTTGGATAGGCTTTGGAGAGTAGGCTGTCTGAGGTGACTATGAAAACATCCCTGTAGACACTCAACTGTTACTTGCTTCTGAAGCAAACTTACTCGACTGACCAAGCACCACCATTTCTAAATCTATACTTGAGGGGTGAGGGCCACATAGAAGAGACAACAGGCTGCCATTCTACCTCTGGACATGGGCTCACTGGAGGTCTCACAGCCACTTTCTAGGAACTTTTGGTGCACACATTTTGTGATGACTCAGTAGAGGTGACTGCTGCCACTTCACCTCCTCCTCCTGCTCCTGCTCCTCCTCCTCCTCCTGCTTCTTCTTCTCCTGCTCCTCCTCCTGCTGCTCCTCCTCATTCTTCTCCTCCTGCTCTTCCTTCTCCTGCTCCTGCTCTTCCTTCTCCTCCTGCTTCTGCTCCTCTAGCTCCTCCTCCTCCTGCTTCTCCCCTTCCTCCCCTTTCTCCTCCTCCTGCTTCTCCTGCTCCTCTAGCTCCTCCTCCTCCTCCAGCTCCTCCTGCTCTTCTTGTTCCTTCTCCTCTTCTAGCTCCTCCTCCCCCTGCTCCTCCTCATCATCCTGCTCCTCCTGCTCTTCCTGTTCCTTCTCCTCTTCTAGCTCCTCCTCATCATCCTGCTCCTCCTGCTCTTCCTTCTCTTCTTCTACCTTTGGTATTCCCTTCCCTCCCTTCTTTTTTGGTCTTTTCTTGTTTTCCATTTCTATAACTGATGTATTCCCAGTTTTACCAGGAATGCATTGTGTACACAAATATAAAAAGCAAAGCCAGTTTATCTCACATCCCCATCCAAACGAATGCAAGTGACCTCAATGTGTGTTTTCCCTGAATCTCCGAGGCTGCCCTGGAGTGGCATACCACTGTCTACACCCTCTGCTGTTTTGGGGGAGCATGCTCTGGCCTCTCCCCTGGATCTCTAAATGACGGAGAGGTCATGACACTTCCAGTGTGTCCGCAGGCACACCTTCCCTTCCGCAGTCAGTGTTGAGAGGCTGGGACAGACCGGGTC